GTGTCGCCCTATTCACCCAAACAACCAATGCCATTTTTAATTACTGCTGCCCTGTTCAAAGTCTCTATGTGTCCAACGGAAGGATAAACTCTGCCCTACTAAAGTCACTGCGACGACAACAGAAACGTGCGTACAAATCTCACAGTGCTTCAGCTGTTAGATATTTGTCTAGGCTTATCAAAGCACAAGTAAATAGATTGAACGCATTATTCTCAGATCGAATTCTGAGAACTGGAAACAGCAAACACCTGTGGCAAGGTATAAGAATTCTCTGTGGAAGGAAGAAAGTATGGTCGAACGTAGATGTGGACACTGATGATCTCAATACCGCATTCCTGCGCCAATCACCGGACATTCTTCCTGCCTACTCGTCACAAATTGTTTGTTACGTGGAACCACTCTCATACTGTGATGTGTTAAAACTTTTAAAAAGTTGCAAATCGTCTTCTGCTGCAGGCCCGGATGACTTGTATCCACTCCTCTTCAAATTTGGTGCTACTTACCCAGCTAGGGCAATTGTCACCATTGTAAATGAATCACCTCACACTTCTACTATCCCCGACTGTTGGAAGCCGGTCACAATCATACCAATCCCTAAAGCATCCAAATCTTCTATCTTTTCCAAACCTTTTTGTCCCCTAGCATTAACATCCCCAGCTATTAAACTGACTGAACAGACCATCTTCAAACGCCTTCAACAGTATATCAACCTTTCCAATATTCCGTTACAGTTTGCTTACACGCCTAATAGATCCACTTAGACGCAGTCTCCACCCTCATTCATTTTATCACCGAGTTTTTGAACAGCCCTGTTAAATCTGTTCGGTGATTTTCTGGACTACTTTTCAGCATTTGATTCCATTCCTCGATCTAAGTTGTTACAAAAACTGGAAACGTTTGAATGCCCCACGCAGTTGTTAGCTTGGCTATCCAACTATTCTACTGATAGAGTACAAACCACTAGATTGAGGAAGGCTACATCGAAACCCTTAGTCAACAACTCCGGGGTTCTTCAAGGAGCTGTGCTATCCCCATACTTATTTTCCATTTATATTTGTGATATTCCCTGTGTTTCTCCCGCACGAATTTTGAAATATGCAGTTGACGTCATGTTGTGCCAACCCATTTCTTCTTACTCTGATCTAAGTTCTTTTAGCGATAATCTTGATCAAATTCAGTCATTCGCCTCCTCATCGGGGCTAACCCTGAACCCCAGTAAAAGGATATCAGGGGGGGGGACTGTGAAGAACATTTCGTGCAACGTACGTTCAAATTCCCTGGGCGCCCTCCGATTGCACCGCTTTTTCTGCCTAGACGAGTGGTGATATTGTACTATTATAGCCCACAAGCCAGTTAAAAATTGCGTACGTAACGTGAGCACACCACAATCAATGCATCTGGAATCATTACACCAGTTAAGTCTCATACCAAGTCAGAAAGAGATGAATGTGATAACAATTAGGGATTGGTCCGTAGAATTGAAAAACCCCGATTTTATCAGAGCAGATTAATAATAAATCAAAAACATGAATGCTATGCACCGCAAGGGGTTGATATTTTGTTATTTCTATTTGACACGTAATCGCCGTCCCTCTCCCCCCCTGCCTGGAACACTAATCTTCTAGTAGGCAGCTACCGGTTAAGGCAACAGGATGAAGTGGTTACAATACTGACAGATAAGTGTATTATTATCTACAAGTAAGATGTTAAAGTGTGCCAAGTAGTGACAGAGAGATGCTCCTCAATTTGGAACAATAATCACACGCACTGATATCGTGATCACAGATAAAGCATAGGTAACCGTACAACTACGATTAGGTGAGTATGGTACAAAGTGTTAAATTGGATGCAGAAAGCAAAAATATCAATATCAATAAAAAGAGGATAATAGTAATAGTAATAAAACATTCAGTCCGGTATGCGGTCACCCATGGTCGTTGAAAGAAATCATTCATGCAATCACTCGTGGACAGACAGAAACCGGTGAAGAAATGAAAGACAAAAGTGCTGAATATCCGAGTTGTTTGGAACGGGCGTTATTGATCAGGGCCAAATGCGTCTGATAGAAAGGGGATCCAAGGACGGGGGAAGATTGTGATAGATTGGTGCGATGAGAGAAGGGATAACTTGAGTGAGTGCAGGAATGAGCAAGTGTGAACTGAATGGCTTGGGAGAAATTACCGGTCAGGTGTTGTGGCTATGCCCCGCAGATAGCTGAATCTGGACAGGTAGTGCAGACAGGTGACGACAAACGGTGCAGAAGAAATGGTATTGCGGATTAGACGCGTCCGGCCGAATGTGATGTGGGCGGGGAGGTAGAAGCGAAACAAAGCCGGGGAGATAAACAACATCAACATGCAAAACGCGGATTGACAAAAATACAACATTCCAAAAGCGGAGATGCGCGTGCGAACAGTCTGGATGACGAAATGCGAGGACAACCAGAAAACACGTACAAGTGAGTGAAAGAGAGCGCCGATTGCGTGGAGTAAAACCTTGCGAGGAAGACGAAACGATAACATGCATACACCAAAACCTAACACGAGACATAACCAGATGGAAACGAACGAAACAGTGAACAGGGCTTCCTCAGCAGAAGCTATTTGAGACGATTGGTCATATAGGAGCATTTCGCGAGGTGTAAGGGAATGATGACCAGTCAGAACCCGAAACACCCACTCCGACTATACTGAGGTTTTCGGACATTGCAATTATCATGGCTATTTATCGCCCCACAACTTAGATGGAGAACAGAGCCCTCAGATGTCGGTAAAGGGAAGCAGTCAAAACAAAGGTTTTCAGCGCAAACATGGCACAGAGAGAGAGAGCGACAGCGAAATTGAGCGGTAGGGATGGAACGCGATCATCGAAAGGATGGTGATGTGTATCGCATGACTACTACAACCAGTAGGCCATTTCTGAGACACACGTCAGAGTGCTGAGGATGGTAAAAAAGTTAAACACCAGGGGAACCCATAAGTCAAGCCCGCAAACAGTGAATCAAACACGGTCCAAAATGGGATCAAATAAGAAAAGTTGGAGAAATTCTGTCTTCAATTTTCACAAAGTGGCCCTTGGATGGCTTAAATGGTTCACAGATAAAGCAAGTTAAACGCTAAGATATTTTGGGTTTCCGGACATGACTATCTGACTAGGAGCTTAAGTAATTTGTTACAACAAATCCTACGGCAAAGATTGCCGGCCCCTGGTGACGAGGCTGTTCGACCATGTTGTTCATTGCACGAAATTGTGGAATAGAAAATTTGGTGAATTATCGGTATAAAACAGTGGAACGAAAACGATGCATGTGTCCGGATTTATTGACACTCATTGCCAGTGGGGCCTCATATGGTTCACCACTCCAAACCCCGGGGCTTGGGTTACCGGTTTCCATCACTGAATGGCAGTCATCGTGACTGTTGAGTTCGCTCTGTCTGTTCATCACATTAAGGTATGCAATGAAAAGGAGTTTATATTTGAAGTCAAATAGGAACCGGTTAAACAATCAGAAAAAGAGACAGAACTTGTCTTTGTTTCCTCACTCGAGGATTTTCGTGACTAAGCGGGAAATTACGGAGTGTCAGAGAAAGAGTTGTCAAAGTTGTTCCCTACTCGGCACCTAGCTCCAAATTGCTCAGTCCGACCTACTGGCGGTAGACAGCCACAACCTAACTCTACAAAACATACCCAGACGATGATGGCTGAAGATACGATGTGTATGGTTTAAATAAATTATACATCTAAAAAAGACCTCTTGAATAACTAGAAGGAAAATTGGTTCCAACTTCAGAATAAGCACGAGGACTGATTACAACGGATTGACCAACTACCGATAATATCTAAGAAGGCATCTACTCGGGGCGATGATGGCCCGGTGGCAACATCATCAAATTAACACCCCGGGGGACGTGTGTTCGAATCCGACCACAACCACCGCCAGACTTTCCCCATTCTCTGTGTTGTATGGTAGCCCTTAGATTGGTCGCTTACACTCTTCCTAAAATTTGTATCATTGTGTATTCAATAAAAGGGAGTAAAAATCAGAAAGAAAAAATCTCTGGTCGAAGTTCCAGTGACCACCGATTCCCGTATGCTGCCCGTTTGTCCTGGTGAGGTCAACCACTCAAGCCGAATTAAACAAGCACTGTGCGACCGAAATCAGATGCAACCGCGATCGCCCATTGGAGCAAGTGATCAATCTCCATAGATTACGTTGGTTGGGGCATGTATTACGCATGTCACCAGTTAGATTGCATAGCGAGCGATGTTTGCCGAGGCAGGTAGTAAGTGGAAAAAAGCCAAGGGTAGCCAGGCTAAGACCTGGGCATGAGGGTATGAAAACACTAACCAGGAGTCTGTGTCATATAGGTCCCGTTAGGCTCCCTGGCTGGGGACCCCGAGATGGGGGTCACCGGTGGTTAGAGAGACGGAGTGATATGGCTGGATGTCGCAAACAGTGGCGCTCGTGAATCCACTCATTATTCTCTTAACACCACTTTGTATGAATTCTCCATCTTCCGCTTGAATTTGCTTTCAATATTCCAATCCGCATTCTGCTCTTTTATTCAAATAAAGCACCAAAATACAGCAACCAAAACCGGTACACGAATGAGCATGGTTATTGGTCGTAAAAACTGAAACTGAACTGAACGAGCTTGAGGATTAGTTCTCCTCATCTAGCCAAAAAAATCACTGTATTGTAAGACCTCTGTGGGTGTACAAAAATGATTGGATTCGGTCGCAAACCGTACGTGATGAACTCGAGCCTTAAAGCAGGTAAAAACATTCGGTCTGTTGTTTATCATGGATGAGTAGACGTGGATAAACTATTTAATAATCTATACCGGATCAGTGGAAAAAAGCGACAGAACAATATTTTATGATGGACTATTCGGATACGGGGTGAGAAACTTGCAACCAATGACCAGGTTACAGTGACAACAAATACATCATTGAATCAAGGCACCCAGGCAGATAAACCCAACAACAGCGACCCGAACTCACAAGTTCTGTAATGTTTGCAGTGGTCGATTAGATGCGGTAGGTGCTTGGTGGCTTGTCAGACCAGAACCGACCAGACTTGGTCCACCAGCAGCGGCACTGAGACCCAAAAGCAATTCCGGATGTCCTTTCTGACCGGCGCGTAAAGCTTCGGTTAGGTGAACAGCTTCTTGCAATTCCATCAACCGTTCCTTGTACTGATTCCGTTCGGACAGTACACGGGCCATTTCGGCACGAGTGAAACGTTTCCGGTGCATAGAACCGGAGCCCGATTCGGGTACAGTGGACTGGGAAGACCGAATACAATAAAGATGCCGGATTACATAAATAAGTGGTGATGAAAAAACCAAATTATGATCACATCTCAGTAAAAGAGGTTCATCGGTTAGAAGCGAAAGACATGCAAGTGTTAGGTTGACAGGTTTCATCCGGAGTGAGTTACCTGTCAATCCCAATTGTCAGTTCATGCGAGCTTTCATTTTCTTTTCATAAACGGGAAAACTTCAAAGATTTTATTGGACTAAGTCGTGATTTGTTACGCTGAAAAGCTCGTTTAGGCGTGAGCGGACTCTTAACAAAAAGATATCCACATTTCTGGGATACAGTGGAGTGGGAAGGGAAAACTACGTACACTTAATCGCTAAAATCCCACGGGTGGGTGGGGGTAATTACTCCTGGATAAAGAGTCAGGCACTATCGATTTTTTACCGGAGAAAACGAAAACCATAAGGTCTGAGCCACACCTCAAACAGTGATTCATCGATGTACCCAATAACGTGCTGACCAGGAATAGTAATGGTAGCACGCCACATCACAAATCCGTTTAGAATGGTAAAAACTAGATATACTGATGGGTCAAATGAAGAGTTGTTTGGCCATATTAGCAACGTTATTATTATCATTATTATTACTGTCTGAATAACCTGTATTAAGGAGTTCAAAAACAGTTTCCTAAACGGGACTTGGTACTCCAATTTGGCGGTTCTGATTTCTATCCCACGCACATTGATCCGTCCAAGGCCGCAGCGACCAGGATATGTGACAAAAGACAATATGAAGGGACTGAGTCTGGATGCAACTAATGTAAAATGGGTTCCTGTTAACAGAAGTCCTTGATTTGACTTGACTTGGGTTAGAGTGAGGTAGAATGTGAGTAAGCTTTCCCTAACTTTAGCATCACAACGAAACTGCACCTCGACGTGATGTGATGGCTTGCGCGCATCCATCACCCTCCGAGCTATACAGGATGGCTCTGCAAGCCGTAGATCCAATCATATCTGAAAATCCAATGGATAGAGATCAGGCGAAACTCGGCCTCACAAGATCAACTGCTTGGACACCTTCTGGCTTTCTTTAACTATCCACCCTTGCCCCAGGAGAGGTGCATCCAACAGATAAACACGAGGAGAGGGGCCGTTTACCAGTCAAAAAACACCACGCCAGATGGAGCGAGGTACACGAAGCATCCTTCCGACCGACGGTGGGAGACGTTTTTGCACTTCATGAGAGATTTGCTGGCCACCCGAGCTGAGCAGTCCTCAACAAGTGTCAATCAATGCACATTAGAGAACAATACACTGGACCGAAACCCGAAGACCTTGTGTGAAAGGTCTTGAGAAGCTTCCACACGGGTGCTTCGATCACGCTTCCGCGTTGGATCTACGCACCACTGTTTTTTAGGTTAGACCTTTCAGTCAAAGATTCCTGTCAGGGTTCCCAAAGAAAACCCCCTTCGTCAGTGCTGGCTACCTCAAAGTGCGTCGTGATCCAGAATCTTAGGCATACATTTGGAAAAAAACTCTTATCTGTCCAGTTCTTCCTCTGGACCCATAAATCTTAGGAGCTGTCTCCTTTTTGTACCACCCATGGGATATTACTCAGTCAACCAAAAGCTATCAGATTGTTGTCACTTAGCCGTAATTATTATCCAATTGGCCGAAAAGATGTCTTAGTTAGAATCTTTGAAACTTTGAATTTAGGTGTGTGCTGTGTCTCAAAAACAAGCATACCAGAGTCTACTGTAACCATCATTTTGCAACCTACTGAACCAATCACATCCCCACTCTTCACTTTTTGTGAGTCAGACGATTCGGCATCTGAAGCTCGCATTGTTGTCGGTGTCGGGATTATGCTAAGTGTCAAGGCCCAGCGCTCAATTTCGGACTGGATTCCGGCTAGTAGGCGATTTTGCATTGCACGTCTTTACGGGTCAGTAACGGTCGACAGCTGCAGAAAAAAAGCGTTCATGCTTATTTGTGACGTTCGAGTATGCGCCGATTGATGAAAGAGCACCAACGCTATTTCTGTGGACCCACAATCTGAACGTGGTTTTCTAATCAGTTAACCAATCTATACCCGGGAGCTGCCTCTTTCTGACGGATGTAACCGAGAAGTTTATATCAATTGTTGCTGTCCCAGCTTACGGTACTTCTTCGCCCCGGTTCACTACGGAAAGTGTTGTCTGTTAGGGTTGCTCTGTCTTCTTTTCTATTCCACCTTGTTATAGATCTAATTCATGGAACAGCCTTATCCTCCTGAGAGAATAACCGCTTCGATTTGCTCGAAAACGACATACTATCTGATCTGCAGTATCCAGACAACATTGTGCTGCTAAGTGAAGATCCAGGAAAGTTGCGAGCTTTGATGGATAGTTTGAGTGCTAGTGTAGCTGTGTTTGCTATGCGTTTCGCATCTTCAAAGAGTAAAGCTCTGTTACAAGATTGGGTTTGCCCAGCCTCCAATATCGCTCGAATTGGGAAAGTAGAATAGGGAGCAAATATTTTTTCCCTACTTAGGCAGCTACCTCGTGGATGAAGTGTCGACTCACATACAGACGGCTGGATTGATATTTGCCAAATTGAGACATCTGTGGTGCCGTCATGACATCCGGTTGTCTGTGAAGGGTCGAGAGGACCCCACAACAGTTCGGCTAATTCAGCTTTATGGTGCAGAGACTTGACCCTTTTGAGAACAGAATAAAATAAAATTGTTGGTGTTCGAACACCGCTGTCTACGCCGCGGTGCGCGAGTCTGATTGGGAAACCGGACAAGCAGTGCTGACGTTAAACACAGAGTTTTAGGTAGACGCGATCGTCTGTTGAAACAAACGGTCGACCTCCATTGAGTACGCTCGTTGGTGTCTGTGTTGCGCACGCTACCAAATAGATTGCCGAGGCAGGAAGCGGATGGGAAAACGCCAATGCGGTCAAACTAAGACCTGGCCGGTGCGTCTCAAAACACTAACAAGGAAACCGGGTCACATAGGCCAGGTTAGACTTCCTAGATGAGGACCCCGAGGATACAGTAACCGGGAGTGATATGGCTGATTGTCGTACCCAGTGGCGCCCGTGGATCTAAGCATTATTCTTGCAACCCCAATATATATATACTCTCAACATTCTAATCTTCCTTCTACTGCTTTATCCAGATAGGCGGTCAAAAGACAGCAACCAAAACCGGCGCACGGAAATGCATGCTTAATGATTGTAAGAACTTAAATTGATAGAAAAGCGAACACCACAGTCGAATAGAAAACAAAGTATCCCGTGTGGTTCAATAAATTCATGCGCAAAATGGGAGAGATAGCAACTGAATATGAATGTCCGCCGGTGAGACGCGGTCCAAATACTCGATATCGCGCCAAGCACACACACACGCATCCAACACTTAGGGGAACACAATGGTTAGGTTAACGCAGCTCCGATAGAAGCGCACTAAAANCACTAAAACTCGAATGATAAAACGAGAAACCAACTATAACCATTAGATCACTTTATTTTCTCAAACTACTTACTTCGAAACGATGCGAGGAAGCGGTCAGTCGATCACGCAATTCCTCCAATTCGTGGCGGGTATCGTTCAATAGTTGATCAGTGGACGCCAACTCCGATTGCAGTGTTGCACGACTTTGAGTCAGATGAGCAACGGACTCGCGAAGCGAAGCGTTCTCACTATCGTGACGCAGGAAAGCAAACAGACAATTCGGATGGTTATCTTGAACGGGAATATCACTGCCGATCAGCAATGACAACAATGTGAACGAAAAAAACCAGGACACCGTGTTGGGTGCCGATCCCTGATTAACATGACGCACACATTAGGTGATGAATAGAACTGAGCAAACGAAAAAAGCCTCGGAGTAATCGTTCGTGAGGATCTAGGATGTTCGACACATTGCTCAAGGGCGTCTTCAAAGGCGATAAAATACGTTGGATTGCTAAAACATGTTTTTGGATCATTCGAAACAGACCTATTGCCCCGTTTATTATCAGCATACATTAGACCACTCACCGAGTATGCCACACAGACTTGGAATCCATGGCTGATTCGTGACCAAAAGGCACTTGAACGTCCGCAGAGAACAGCAACCAAAATGGTAAAAGAGTTACAATCTAAGACCTACAGTGAAAGACTGCAAATTCTCCGACTCGACTCGTCTGAATACCGTCGAATACGGGGAGACACGATCCTCGTTTATCAAATACTATATCAACCTAAACACCCGTGTAGTACTCTAGTGACGCTATCCAGGAATGTTCACCTCCGAGGATATCCGTTTAAACTTCTGCTCCAAAAGAGTCGGCTCGACTGCTGGCGTCAATCCTTCAGCCTCAGAGTTTGTAACACCTGGAACTCTCTTCCACCTCAAGTTGTTTGTGCACCAACCATCGATTCATTCAAGTCACGACTGGATGAAGCATTGAACCTCCTAACTTTTCAGTACCCGTGAGTGAACGCCAGAATTTGCTATTCTATTGTACTACCAACCGAACCCAATGTGTACAGACTCTATGGGATTAATTAAGCATCAGCTTTGTAATTTGCCCATAATGAAAATTTAAATTTGAAAATAATATTCGTTAAGTGTAACTTGCCGACAATTCAAAGTTGATTGATTTTATATTTCCACATGAAACTTTTATCATATATATAAGCTAATCTGTGCAAAAAAGTGATATGTTCAAGGGGTAGAGTTTCAGTTGTAATACGTTTTTTCAACTAGTGATGCACGGTCTGGGTAGTTAGTAGCATGGGGTGGGTTTATCTATTTTGTACGCACCGATTGGATGCAGACGAAAGAATGTCGATCGCCTGAGCAGCGGCTAGGGTGTGGACATGTTGCGATTTACCATCGGTTTGCGAGCATGCACGATAGCAATGGAAGTGGATAGGGGTATATAAGTGCAGAAGTTAGCTTTGCTGTCGTCTGTCACCAAGATCACAACTAACCTAATGAGATCTGATGTGGTTCGTCACTCCAAGTCCCGGAGCTACGGTTACTGGTTTTCATGACTGAACAAAAAGTGGCTGTGCAATTAACCCCGCGCGTTGTTCATCACACAACAGCAAGTTGGAAAAAGATAACTCCTTCATGCCTGAAAGTTAGATTGCAGTCTGACCGACCCATCGCTTTCTACAGCGTTGACCAGCAGTTGCAAAGAGATCACGAAGGGACGAAAGATGAGGAGGTATGCGCAAAATAAAGACCGATCAATCGGAGGCGTTGTAAGACGCTTTCCTTCTTCAAAGAACAACTATCAACAGCCATCAAAGGACCACAGATCGCGACATTGCTCAATCTGCTTTCCTAATGAACAGGAGCGATGATCAGCACTTTCGGTGCACAACTGTAGATTAGGACAGTGCCAAGTGTTGGAGTGTACAGGATGCAGACAGAGTAGGATGTCAAGATGAAACCACAAAAGGTTTGCAAAATTTACTCAATTTTTTCTATTCGTGATGTGATCAACGCACCAACACCCCTTACTGCTGTTTTTAGGTTCTGCTGGTATTTAAACTTCTTGACTACTTCTAGCTGATCACCATAACGGGTGAGTGAAAGCACAGGTTTCCTTGGGGTTTGGAAAGGTATCATGCACTAGGGTGGGGCAAATACCACGGTTGAATGACTCAATTGACCAGCGAATTGACTTACATTTCATCGGCTGTACACTGCCACCCAGCAAGGCGATATTATCGACATATTCCAAGTCAGGAACTCTGGTCCCTAGGGGGAGTTCAATCCCACCATTTGCTAGAATGTTCTCTATGGCGAAGTCAAAACAGAACGGGGATACAAAGCAGACCTGTCGCACTCCTCTGGAGACAGTAAATGTAAGAAGCTTCTTTATATGATTGAAATTACGTAAACCAGACCTACCTTTACTCTGTTAGCAACCCAGGAATTCCTGTTTGGCTCTAAGCAACTCCCAGTTTATTGTCCTTTGCCAACCGGATCGGAACTTGCTATGTTCCCTCTCCGTGAACATTTAGTTTGTACTTTTCCGTAATTCCCCGTAATTACATAACCGCCCCACATAGAAACTTCCGGTATTAATTGTCGCAACCCGTTCTTCGTCCGGCCTGTTATCGCGATATACTATCTACACTCCACATAGAAACCGTTTGGTACTTATTGTCGTGACCCCTTCCTCGTCCAGCTTGTAACTGTAATCTGTTATCTCCACCCCATATGGAAACTGTCGTCCTATCATCGCCACCCCTCGTGGAACTGCGTCGTAGTAACTCGTTCTGCGCTTAATCCATTATCGTTTTCAACTATCTCGATCCGGCATAGAAACTGCCGCTTGGTCACCGTTTTATCACCCCCGCTATGTTTACCCTACCGTCTTCACTGTTCATTCCTTTTCGCAACCAGTTGTTTCTTGGCCCACATTCTACCGCTCGCCCTTGTGTGTTTAACCACCCCAGACACACTCCTCGTGTTCGTTGTCTATTCTCTCAATTACACCATGATTAAGGTTGCCGTCTGTCGCCCCCCCCCCCCCGGACTTTGGTGTCACTTCATTATCCTATCCCTGTGATTGGTCCTCACCGCCCCTTAAATAGCGCTGTCTCTATATCCACATCGCATTCCTCCTCTGACTTCCAAGAGAGTGGTTTCCTGGTACCTTTGCTTTTGTCGTATTGAACCGATTGTTCTGTCCAGACCGAGCTGTCCCTAGTTTGAGAAATGACGTTGTATTTCCATTGATTCATGACTCATTATGCAGTACACATAGATTTCCCGGCCTTGTGTTCTGACGCGACTTCGGGGGTTCGGTATCTGCGAATCACTCTATCATCGGATACCAATCCAGGTACAGTAAAGAATAGGGAAAGGTGATCACAGGCTCTCTCTCTCTGACTGACTGAGGTATGACAATATACGCTTTTAAGGACTGACATACTTCTCAAATCCTTTGTGCGTTTTATAAATGGAATCAAGAGTAGCCGGGTGCCTAGGAATAGAATAATCGTTGGTCTGAAGTCAATCNTATGAAGAACAGCATTGCGTAATTCTTAAATATACCATACCTTAGAAGAGACCGTCGGATAGCGGTCCACATGACTGAATCGAAGACCCCTCTGATACCCAAGAATTCATCGCTTGTCAGTTTGGCGGTATTCGCTTGAAAAAGGACGAGGCACGCTTTGCTCTTAATTAATTTGTTCACCACGTTTCTGTACCAGTTCAGTTCGTACAATCATTAACCATGCACTTTCTTGGGCCGGTTTTGGTTGCCCATTTGGATAAAATAGCAGAATGATGATTAGTTTGTTGAGAGCAGATTTAAGCGTAAGGTAGCACATTTTCATAGACTGAAGTTTCACGAATAATGTGCAGATGCATGAGTGCCACTGTTGCGGACTGGGCCAACCCAATCTTGAAGCAGCATTTTACACTTTGAAGATGCAAAGTGCATGCCGCTACATCGCTACACTACTACTCAAACTATCCAGAAAAGCTTGCAACTAACCAATCTGCGGAGAATAACTGATACCAGAACTTGCGACGCAATCGGAAGGTGACCGACTATGATTATGAAAGATTGTGCGCAATCCGGGACGTGCGGTAGATAGCGAATCGAGGCACTGTCTACAGGTTAGTCTGTTCTACATACATCAGGCTGTCGAGCATCGGGGAAACGAAAAGTTTCGCGTGTGATTTAACCACCAGGTTGTTTCATGATCTCTCCGCATGTTCACGCATCCAGATGATGCGTGCCTATCTGGATACGCAGTCAGCTGCCGTGGAAGATAGCTGCTCCAGGAGTCGAAGAAATTTTGGTTACACGGTTCGTGAATGAGATCGCAGCATGATAAGCAAGCGACTTTCAAAGCTGATTCACTAGGTTCACATTATTGTTCGGCAAAGATGAACTGCTAATATCTAAGTGAGTCGCTTGACCTCCATCTGAAATTTGGTTAAGAGACCGAAGGTTCTTCCGACAGCGAATATTTCTCTGTTGATTTTCGCAGTGGAACACGTATTACATAAACCGCAGAGAACAACCACGGCTATCCATGTGCAGCTAACTGAGATTGCACAATCGATAAGTAAACCGGAAAAATGAGCATTATAGCTATCAATTCCAAGCATTTTACCCATGTCGAAAAGTAAAAACTTACAGATTGACTGAGTCCAGTTTGGTTATCAAATCATCTTTGACAACATTTAAGGCGTTCCTGCAAAGCAGAAGCAGCAGCAGAGTGGAATACAGTGAACAAAAAACAAAACGACCAGTGGGGGGGGGCGGGGGGATGGGGCGAATTCATAGTTATGTGATGATATGTATCAGAAAGGGAGATTGTCACGAAACCGATGAGAAACGAGGTGAATAAAAACCAAGTCAACTGACGAAAAACCGGTGGTTTTGCAAACCCTGAACATAGAACTGGATGGTACGCCACCTTGAAATCGCACTGGAGTACTAGAGACTACGACAGTCGCACAAATATCATCAACGCATATCCGTGAACTATGGTTGAGATGTTGGCAGCATACGACAAGAATTGTCCAGAGGATGTAGAAATCACGTGCAGATCCAAGTGATTCAGCGTTAGATGGAACGTGCAAACCTAAAGGATACATTATCAGACCGGACTATTTTAATTGGGCTGTGTTCAGATTGCGTAGGAAAATGCATGCAAATCCAAATATCACTTGAAAAACACGCGGCAGGGAAGCGTATAGGAATACTGCCGTCGGGTGAGATTATACTAATGGACATTTTCAGTCTCGCTATCCGTCCTGAGTCACAGGGGAGACGACACATAAATTTTGACCCAATTCTGTGAAACTGTGCATAGCAGGCACGACTCAAGCACATGACAGAACTTGTCTATGGGTGTTCGCGCGGGCACATACATGAAATGACGTTTGGGACATTTTGAGCACTAGAAAAGCAGCGACCATCGGGTTAACCAGAACTGAATGCTACCAGGCTTGTCCTCGGGTTGTAGATAGGGGATACCTTCACCGAAGAAAGTTAAATGTGAATAAGTTGTGACATATTGCAACAAATAAGCCGTCGCGAACACACAGCGGCGGCACTACCAGGGTGTGGTGGGTTTTAGACTGGTCACCTGGCTCCTGTTCAAAAACCGTGTAAGCCAAATGACGGGGTTATGACAACAAAGGTCGATGTGACTGGCCTTTTAAAACTAAAGCCACTGATCTTCTCACTTCCGAGGCGAGGGCTTACTTCCTGCTGCCTTGCAGTTCGCACTTGGTTGTGCAAAGGCTAGAGGTGTGCCCTCGAAATAAAAATAAAACGCAGAATGAGGCTGGGGACGTATCTCGTACCAAATGCCCAAGGAACTTCATGATCATGATCATGTCCGGAGCCGGCTTTTCCTTTCCAAGGAGCCAGCCGCAGTAAAGTAAGACAAACACAATTTCAATAGCTCAGGAAGGGGACAATCTCACTTGGTTTCAACAAGCTCCATGTTTTCACGAATCAATATATCGATTTCCCTTCGCATGCCGGCTAGAATGGGATAGAAAACACGGAAAAATACGATCATTCAAAAAACGATATGAATTACCGAATAAAAATAAATTTGATAATTGACGATACTAGTATTGGTCAACAAAATTGATTTTTTCGGGGTCAAATCAAAACCGATAGTTGTTATTTATTTTCGTGCAAGACCGCAATAACATTCGATAGTGGTGTGTGATAAAGTGATATTGCAAAATTGGAGTGGATAGTATGAATGTGATGACTACAACAGACAAGGTCTATCGGTTACTCAATCATATTCGTAGGCTACGATGAGAAAAAGTGATCCGTTGATCAAGCACTCAAGTGAGTTACAAAGAAAGTCTATCTATCTGACAAAACAATCGACGATTGTATTTGAAAAGAAAAGAACGACAAAGTGCAAAAAAAGGTGAGCGTTTGAAACACAAAGTGACCACGAGCAGTAAAGTGACGCGATGAAGCAATTATTCACAATACGGACTGGAAGCAAATAATCGATATTTTGCAAGAGGTCGAGCTACAGCTCGAGGAGGAAGATCACATCTGATTAGTTCCACCTCCGTCCGGAAGGAACCGAACAGATCCCACGTTTTAGGCAAATTCGTCCCGGTCCTTATCAATTCGGACACAGCAATTCACATTGCAAATCGTGTCTGAGATTAGAAGCGAACATTGGATAGGCAAATCAACTTTCACGAAATTTCATTTTAATCAAGTCTTAGAAATTCACCAAGGGGTTAGTTAGTATTCAATGTATATTGACTATCAAAATTGGATAGCCTCATTCAGTCATAAGTTCAGTAGGCGACTATTGAACCGCTGGTTAGTTCAACTATTCAACTTCGGTTATCTCGCTTCGCGGTCGTTCAACACTCAGCACTATGGTGCTGTTTCGGGGTACAATAGACCAGGGCACAGTTAGACAAAAGAACAAACTGACTGTGAGTGGGGGATGACGAAGTGTCAGTTGCTTTGTCCGGGCGAATGGAGCTGGTCGATATCGACCAGTTGAGTGCGCTTTCCCCAGCCAACAACCTAGATGACGACGAAATACATGTATGGTTGAAATAATATTTAATTAACACGCCTCATTCAAAGAAGCGAACCTGCGGTGGTATAATTGACAGGAGAGCAGGTTACAAGGTAGAGGTAATCATCCATCATCATTCAGTCGCGACTAAGTGCTCTATAGGAAACAGAGTAAAATGGTCTCCTCGTTCAGGTAACAGTGATCTTTAAAAGAAAATAGACCCTGCGTTGTGTAGTCCACTGAATGTGGTTAGACGTTAGTTGATCTCCCTAATATTTTCCAGTACACTGCTCTCGCTTAGTTCTGGGGATGAGCGCACTGAGCGATGTGGACATGCAAGAATGAGAATATGGCCAATAGCAGGGCATATAGATCAGAATGTTCACAATAAGTATGAGTGGTATGCTGACACGCAGGAAAACCCAGGTAACAAATCGAGTGGATGGTAAAAGAGAAAATGCATATAGACTACCAGTGAAGAATCCACCAACTACAACAACACCACATACAGTGTGAGTGAAAACAATGAGAAAACAAATCGCAATGAGATGAGTGTCGGAATAGGTGATGAGCAAGGAGGGGAGGGGGGGATGGACATGCAAAGTGAGTGCGATGACAAATGTGGTTCATCTTACAGCGGACAGCAGCAACACAGCCGGGTACCTACCAAATGCCCCGGTTTCATAATCACCCGTGATATAGGGTGGGGTAGCAGGGTCATCTTGAATGGAGGCGGGAGCGAGCAAACAAGGAACCAAAATGCATAACAGGAACCGGGTTTGGGATAGAAAAGAAGGACAGAAGGATGAATATGACAATGAAATAAGCATTCAGATGAATAAATATGTACATACACACACACACAAGCGCGCGAGCTCAGGCAATCAAGCAAACCAGACCAATCTTCAGAGAGGCATATCAACTGACTTGTGTGTATGCAGGCTTACAAGCGGCTGACTCGAGAAAAGATAGATTCGAGTCAGACTAACATGCACAGATGTTACTAACGTGAGTTACCTTCCGACTGACGAAAGCGTAACACTGACATGCTGAACGGAAATCATGCAATATGGTCTAACTCGGAGGGTATTACAAACAACTGGCAAGGGGGACTAATACCATTCTAATGTATTATTAGTAATTAGTATTATTAGTATTATCATTGATATTATTATTATTATTATTATTATTATTATTATTATTATTATACCGCCAACTTCATCCAGCACAAAGCAAGCGAAAAGCAGTACAGTTGTCTGGATTTGGTTGGATCGTATCAGTAGTTTGAATCCATCATATTATTATTATATTTCACACTTGTCTGAGGATAGACTGTGTACCAGGCAAATCATGGTACAATCATCATTATAAAAGACAAAACGTCCATGATTGGCTTGTGGGCGGAATACTGCCGGGCTGCCCAGGCCAAGGTCGGGGTATTTTCATGAGGAATTCACAAGCGAAGCCTTCGGCTAGCCAAAGCCTGACCCAGAAGGCAACGAGCGGTGGAGCACGAAAACCGCAATCCATTGGGGGCCCGGTGTTCAACTCATCGGATCATA